CGGCCCCTCGGGTGCAAGAAGGGCACCCCCAACTGTCTCGGCCCACGATGTGCCCAGAAACTCGGTGGGAGGAGCGTTCCAGTCCCCAACCACGATCCAATTGCGGTGCTCCCGGAGCACCGGCCTGAGGGCCGCGAGGACATCAGGGTTGCATCCTGCGTGGATTCCCACTGCGCTTTGGAGGTACACGCAGACGACCATGAGGGTCCATCGCAGGCGCGGCAGGGCGATCGCCACGTAGCCGCAGCCCTCCTCCGTGATCATGCCCCCGCAGGCTTGACCCTGCATGTGGGAGGGAACCAAAAGGCCGATGCCACCACGAGTGGGATAAGGCCGGGCGCCCTTTGGCGGCGTGAAGAGGTGGAAACCGCACTTGGATGCCTCGATGCGTAGCTGGTTGAGGCCCTCGGCGTTGAGGTGCAACTCCTGCAATGCTAGGATTCCTTTTGTGGCCGGGTGCCAAGTGAGCAGCTCCTTCTTCCAGGAGGTCACGTTGGCGCTGGTGATGTGGATGGTCGGCAGGGGAACTGGCTCCCTGAGCGGCAATGTCCTTGGCATCCAACCACCCCGAACCCTGGAGGCCATCGAGGAGATCCCACCCGAGGCGGTAAGCGAGGCTGCCTTCCGGTTCCGTCTCAACAGCTTCGCCGAAAGCCACGATAGCTTCTTCGGCATCCTCGAGGTTCTCCGCCACACTGCAGGCGAGGGCGAGCCGCTCTGCAATGGGCTGCATCGGAGACGGCCTTGCAGAAGCTGCAGGGCGACGTTTTCGGGGTCCTCCCCTAGTGGCCCTGGTGTGGGATTGGGATTGAGGGCCCGTTGAGACCTCAGCTCCCTCGCCTGTGAGGGGTGTATCCCCTGGGACATTAGAGACGCTCCCCGTCGGAAAGAGGGTCGAGGGGTGAGGTTCCTTGGGCCTGAGGGCCACTCCTGAGCAGTGCAAGCAGCCCGTGAGGTAGTCGCTGATTTCCAGACAGGGACCGTTGCACAAAGGGCAAGGTTTGAGGCACGACGCCTCGTGGGCAGCATTTGCCCTGGAGCCCTGGTCCCATCCTTGGCGGCGAGACTGCTGGGCCTGTCTGAAGCCAGAGCTCCGAAGCGCCCGTGGCCGGAGTCGGCCACCATGGCCTTGGCTGGGGGCTGAGGTTGCCTGAGAAACAGGAGTGGGAACCACGTCCTGCAGGACATGTGTACCTGGGCTCGGCGACTCCGAGTGCATCTGAGCCTTGGGCAGGTTGTCGCCCTCCGAGGGCTGCCATGCTGCCCAGAAAATGGCGTTGGACCTGCGTATCCGGCACGCCTGGAGAGCGTGACGGCTGCGGCGGTTGCCGAAGTGCTGTGGTCCGCGCCTGCATCCGGGAAGCCGGTTTGGGCGAAAACCTGTTCGGGGAGTGGTGTCCAAGATCCCCGTGACAGACTCTGAGGCCTGGGAGGGTGAAGACACCTCCGAGTTGGTTAAAAACTGCTGTGGCGAAGCCACGCAAAACGATGAAAGAAAGAACCTGGGGCCACTGACACAGCTATCCACTGAGGGCGGGGCTCCCAGTTGGCGTTTGCAAAACTGGCGGCTACGACGTGCCGGAAGCACAAAATCATAAGGGGTGTTCTGGCCTCCCTCTTCGGCGGGTGCTGGAGTGGGTAAACCACTTCCACTCCCTGGTCCGCCATGGAGGCTCACTCCCAACTCTGTGACCTGCTTGTTGTTCTCCTCCTCGCCGGCCAGGGTCTCACCGTTCTTCGAGGGTGTGCGGCTCCGCTGGCGGCCGCCTGTCCCGTCAGCCCCCTTGGGCTGGCCTACTGGGCCTGCGGGTGCGGTCGGCAGGGGGTTGGCACCCTGCTGGGTTGTTGGCTGCGTGCCTTGCAAGCCAAGGTGGAAAGCAGGCAGCCCCGGAGGCGCACCCACCTCGGGCACCTTCCTCTTCTGGGCTTTCCTGCTGCTCGTCAGAGAGGGTCAAGCCAAGGATGGTGACCAGTTCGTCCACATCCATTGGCTCAGGAGTGACAGGCACGTCCTGTACCCCGGTAGGGGTGCCCACAGCCTTGGTGAGCTCGAGCTTGGCCTTCTCCACCGCATTCTCTGCCTCGTGGATCTTCTCCGTCGTTTCCTGGAGCTCCTGCAGCTGCAGGCGGAGGGATTCCTTCGCCTCCTCTATGCTCTCCAGTAGCTTGATCTTCTTGTGGATCAGCACGCGGAGGCGGGAGCTGGCCTTGGTAAGGTCCTTGTTGGACTGCATGGCCTTTTCTCCTGGGGACGGCTCCGGGCCCGTGGTTGCCTCCACTAGTGCAGTGCGGATGTCCTCCGGCAGCTCATCCTGGCGCTGTACCAACAGGCTCAGGAGAGGGTCGGTCTGGGACTCGACCGCCTCCTTCTGCTTGGGAGGTCCTTTCTATCCCGCTTGCGTGAGGCGCGCACGCGCATCCTCCGGGATTTGATCCCAGATTGTCGTGACGGCCCGCTTCAAGCGGCGTTCCTCCTCGCGCCTTTCCTTCTTGTCGGCGCCGCGCTGAGGAGAAGGAGAGGGGGTCTTCGGTGGCCGTCCGCGGCCCGTGGGCCTTCGTCGTGCACCGAATTAACCATGCGTTGCACGGTCATCCTCCTTTGGAGGGCATCGCCCGTGGGCGGAAGAGGCTACAGCCTACGGGAGAGATGCTCATCCCAGATGTGCAGAGGAGTGCAAGCACGTCCTGGGGAGTGTGAACACGTCCCCGCCCTGAGCTACGGCTCTACGGCAAAACTGACAGGGCAGCACATCGAGGAGTGAAGCACGTCCTCATTCCAGGAGTGAAGCACGTCCTGAGGGAGTCGAAACATCCCATACCTCTAGCCCTCGGGGGGTCCCCTGAAAGAGGCGAGGTATTCTGCGACGGCCAGCACGTGGGCCGCCGTCATGAGGTGTGCTTGCATATGTTCCGGGCTCGGTGCCCGCACGCGGCACGGAATGCACCAGAGCATATCCACACTCACCACTGGGGGGGTGCTGTCCTTCAACCCCCTCGGCTGTAGTGGCGTACAGCCTGGCCGTGGTGGATGGAACACGCATGCACACCGGGTCACCCAGAAGGATCGGTGTCTCGTCTGGGAAGAGGCGCAGGGCTCCCAAGTTGTAGCCCGTGCGCATGTGCAACCTTTCCAGGACTTCCCTGGTCGACTCGGTAGAGCCACAGGGTTGACCTCTCCTGGGCTCTCGGCCTCTGCCTCCAGAAAGGAGTTTGAATCCCCTGCCGGGATTTGACTGGTGTTGCCAGCCGCCTCCCCTTCCGAGCCCATTGAGCCAGCTGGCTCTGGGGGTGGGGCCCGCTCCGTGCTGAGCCGGGAGGTGTGGTGGCGGGGATCCTTCCCTCCTTGCAGGGGTGCTGGGCTGAGCTGGGTGCTCAGGCAGGCTGCGAGGCCTCTTCCCTCCGTAGAGGGGGAGTGTGAGGGGAAGGTACTGCTGCTGCCGGGCTGGTCTCGGTCATGCCGGCAGTTTCCTCGACGGGGGAAGTTGGCTCCCCATGGCATCATCTGCCTGCTCCTCCTCCAACTCACCGGCCTCCATCTCCTCAGGGGCGGTGGCTCCTCCGCGGTGACCGGAGCCTCCGAGAGCGGTACACGCCCCGGTGCTGCCAGGCTTTTGCAGGCCGTTGTGCGGCGCACCGTCCTGCGAACCCAGGCGTCCGTCTCTTCCTCCATGCTCCCATGGCCGGGATCCGGGTCACTGCCGTCCTCGGCCTCCTCCTCCTCCTTCGCTGCCTCGCCTGCGGCGCCGGAGGGCTCATCCGCCGGCAGCGGTTGAGTGGTGCCCGGGTGCGGCAGTGGGCACTTTTTCGGCACTGGCACTTGGTTCGAGGGCGCTGCCGTCGCGCTGGTGCCTGCTTTGGCTCTCGCCGTGGCGGAGGTGGCGGGGGAGTGCGCCCGCTGGAAGCAGCTTCTGTAGCAGGCTGCTCCGGTGCCGCCGCTTCTTGGGATCCGGCGGGCTCCCGTGGGCGCATGTTTCGCGCCCAGCTGGACCGCGAAACCCGCGTGGCGTTCGGGTTGCGAGACCGAACGAACGCCTGGTATTGGGCCTCTTGCTCCCGGGAGAGCGCTATTGGGGAGATCTGTCTTCCCCGGCCCTGGGCTTGGTCTCGAGGGGCTTGGCTTCCCTCGCGAGGGGCTCGGCTTCCCTCTTTGGCATGCTTTCCTTTGCCGCTGCTGGCTCGTCCTTTGCCTTTTCCTCCGCCGCCTCTGCAGGCCGGCGGCCGAGCTACCGCTACCTGGGGCTCTAACCGGCTTAGGGGAAAGGTGAGGCTGAGGGGAGGTCCTGGGCAGAGGCTGCTGAGGGCTCGCTGTGGCTTCGGGAGGGGACGTGTTCGGGGCGTGTCCCGGTTTGGAGCTTCGAGCCTGAAACAGCTGCCGGAGTTTGGGTTGGGCTTCGTGCTGCGCTTTGGGCTGAGGCTTGACCCTTTTCCTATCTACTGCTGGACATGCCTTGGGTTTTGGGGCCAAAGAAGAGGTAGCCGCAGGGAGTGAGGAGTTTAGCATACTCGCGGCAATCTGCCCCTTCTTCAAACGCGTAGGCACACACTGACTACACAGGGTCTTGGAGGGTTTAGAGTGCCCTGGCCTAAGCTGCGCGCCACACTTTTTGCACATCCACCTGTCGCCTAGGTTGTGCATGTCGTGTGACACATGCACTTCCAGCTCAGCTGGAATGGGGCTCTCCCTGTGCCGACAGGGGTGGGCGGCTATGCGGTCGAAACGCCACAAGGGCATGAGCTGCTTTATGTACAGCCCGCAAACCACGCACGCCGCGGAGGCGATGGCAGTGGGGTGGGCCTCCCACGTGTGCCCGCCGGTGCCCTCTTTAATGAGGGCCTCGATTCGTTGGCGTTTGTTCTCCCCTCCATCTGCGGCTGGCCTGGGCCGATGGTGCGGGGGCTGTGTTGCAGGGGTCGCAGGCTTGCTTGCACCCTTGGGGGTATGCTTCTTCCCCTTTTTGCGTTTGGGTGTCCCCTCCTGGGTCAAATCCCAGGGTGGCTGCTCATTGGAGACCAGCAGCACGGAAGCCTTGTGCTGCAAGAAGACCGTCACCTACTAGGTCGTCGATCTCGTCTGGACACCATGGACCCACTTGGGCCGTGGCCCTGGCCGCCGCTTTCCGGCAGAGTTGGTCGGCCGCGTCGTTTATCTGCTGTCTCCAGAGAGACGCCTCTCCGAATTCAGCGCTGAATTCCTCCGCGGTCACGTGTGACCTGACCCACGTCAGTGAGGCGTGCGCTCGCCGGTCGCCCCCTTGTAGCCACGGCCAGCTGACTCCCAAAGACTTCTGCTGCCGCAGCATCCCCGCACAGTCGGTGGTGATGTCTGCGACCCCTGGTGTGCGGGCACACACGCGGGCGATCGCGTAAGCTTCGGCCTGTGGCACCGTGGTGCCCGGCGGTAAGACGCCGCAGGCGGATCCATCGGGGGCACGCTGGAAGATGACCACGCTCCACGCCGCTACGCGGCCGCGGGGGTCGTTGCCGTGGGCACCCGCCGTCCCGTCCGTGCCGTAGAGGTACTCAGGGGCCCACTCCCTGGCAACTGCGACACCGGTTTCCTCCTCACTCTCCGGGCCCCACGCGTACCCACGGAGCTGGGAGGCTTTGGCCGGAAAGAGGCCCCTGGTCCAGAGACTCTCGAAGGGGTACTTCTCCCTGAGCCGTGCCCAGTTGGCCGGTGCGGGTGGGGCGCTCCTGGGCAATGTGCAGGGGAGTGAGCTCGACCCTGCACAAAGGGCACTGCTCGCCGGGCCGGATCAACCGGGATCGCATGGCCCTGGTGAACCATACGGAGGGCCCCGGCGCGGGCGTTGCTAGTCTTGCCCTTGGTGAGGAGGCGTGGGACCGTGTGGTCGACTCCTCGGTCCAGCGACTCGCAGCCTGTTTGCCTGCTGATGGCCTCGTGCCGCGTATGATCGGCCAGGGCCATAAGGCACGCCTTTATAGGTTGGTGAGCCAGGGGGTCCAGGGGGTTGAAAGCAACCTGGTGCTCTCCCACTGGCTGGCCAGCCATTGTGGCCGGGCATAGATCCGCCGGGAAGAGCCATCGATGAGGGGAGGAGGCCTCGACCCTCAGTTCGAGCAGGTAGCCGATCATGGCGCCCACCGGCCCACAAATGATCTTCCACCGGTCCTTCCGCTGGAGCTGCTCCCAGAGGGAACGCCACGTACGCTCCAACTGCTCGCGGTCCGGCAGTGCACACAGGCCTTTGCCAAGGGCCGCCCAGTGCTGACCAATGATCGAGGTGCGCGGGTCTTTTGTCGGTTGGCCACCAAGCTCAAGCGCCACTTCCACACTGCCCGTCATCACCCGCCTGGACACCTGCGCGGCCTGAAAGCGAATGCTCTGCATGACCTTGGGCGACACCCCTTGAGACTGGTGCCCCCAGTTACCCGACGCCATGACGCTCATGGAAAAGAGCCGGGACCGGACCCGGAGGGCCGGCAAGCGGAGCGACTGGAGCGCACCGCCGACTGGAAGGTGGTCCGGCGCCGCCCGGCTGCGGTTTCCATGCCAAGGTCCTTGGTGGTTTGGCGCACCGGGGGGTCACCCTTCCCCAGTTTACGGCGGAGTGCGCGTTCCGCCTCTGGCGAACTGGCCAGGAAGTGTGTCTTGGAGGCAGACACCTCGTTGCCCTCAGCCTCCAACGCGTCGTGAAGACGGCGAAAGAGGGTGACAATCCCGGCGGCGGCGCGCTCAGGGGTTTTGTGGACGACATCGGCCGAGACGTCGTCCACCCAACACCCTACGTAGTCCGCCAGGGAGCCGGCGCACGCAGCCCTGATGGGCTTTCCTATCGATAGCTTCGATAGGAGAGGAGCTAGCGGACAGCCCGCTACTATTCCTCTTGCCGCGAAAACGCATGGTGATGCGACAGAGTCGGCAGTCACGATGCGACCGCCACGATAGGCTTGCATCCCTAAGTTGAGAAGAAGCGGCGGGAAGCCCCAATGGGCTGCTTCTTCGCACAACTTTTCGTGGCTAACGCGTTCATAAAAGGTACTTAAATCGAAGAAGATGGTGCACCGATGCACCTTGTCAATCCGACAAGCCTCGTAGAGGAACGCGCGCCGCAGGGATGCATCGTGCGTGCTGTGTGATGGCAGGGCCGAATCCCACCAGAGGGATGCCCGGTTGGCCTCGATCCATGAGCTTGCAAGCTCCCAGCGGCACTTTATGCCTAACTTCAAGAAAGTGGACATAAGGCCGATTGGCCTCTCCACCTTCTCGTTTTTAGGGAGCATTACGTACTGAGTGAAGGAGGCCTGATGAGGAAGGACGCCTTCCAACTCCACCTCTCTCCACAGGTCGGCGAGGGTATGAACCTCCTCGATGGAGAGGGATTTCAGGAAGGGAACATCCCATCCATCAAGCCCGGGGGCTTTGCACGGCATCGAGCGGATGTACCGATACATCTGATGCCCCGTGACCGCGGGAAGCAGCCTGGCTTGCTCCACAGCCTTCTGGCGAAGCTCCAGAAAAGAGGGGGCTGGTCTTGCCCGGGCTTGCCACAGAGTGGCCCAGTACTTGAGCCGCTCGTAAGGCCGGGACTCAGCAGAGACCTCAGTGAAGGGTCTCGTAACATTCGTCTCAGCTTTGGAGAGGCAGCGAAAGAGCGGTCGCATGCCACGCCGGGTGCCAATCACGAGCCATTCGGCCACCGCGGCGGTCTCCGCCTTCCGGGCCCGTTGGTGTTCCTCGTCGCGGAGCTGTCGGACCACTGCAAGGGTTGAAGGCCGGCCCTCTTCCACCGAGCCAAGGGCGCAGAGGAAGTCTTGGGGAGAGGAGGCCTCAATCCCCTGCGCCTTAAGGTGGATGGCAGTTGCCTCCACCGCATCGGGAGGCATATTGCCCACCAACGCCTCAATTCGCCGAAGGTGTCTCTTCGGGTGTTCCCAAAAGGAGGCCATTCGGCTCCAGAAAGCAGCGACGTGGCCCCTCCACGGGTAGGACCAGTCCTGCTGCATGAGGGGCTTGTGCTGGAGGGGGTTGTTGGTGCCGCGCCCTCCTTCGGTGGTGTAGTGACGTGCCGCCATCCCAGAAGTGATGCCCGCCAAACGGCAGGTCAGGGGGTCCGACCGAATAGGTTGGGCCCCGATCATCCCAAGACCGGGAGCCACCCACGCCGGGTCGGCGGGAGCCGCCTCATCCCGCAAGGCCCCTTGGTAACCGGTGAGCTGAGGCAGCGCCACCAGTCCCTGCTGGACGGTGAGGGTGAAGGAGACCGCGGCGTGGGGCGCAAAGGGGACCTCCCACACCGTCTTAACGCTTGTCAAGGAAGCCAGTGGCCGAGCTAACAGGGCGTAGTCGAGGGTATTGCCCGTGTTGATAGTCGGCCCATCCGGTGCAAGAAGGGCGCCCCCCACTGTCTCGGCCCACGATGTGCCCAGAAACTCGGTGGGAGGAGCGTTCCAGTCCCCAACCACGATCCAATTGCAGTGCTCCCGGAGCACCGGCCTGAGGGCCGCGAGGACATCAGGGTTGCATCCTGCGTGGATTCCCACTGCGCTTTGGAGGTACACGCAGACGACCATGAGGGTCCATCGCAGGCGCGGTAGGGCGATCGCCACGTAGCCGCAGCCCTCCTCCGTGATCATGCCCCGCAGGCTTGACCCTGCATATGGGAGGGAACCAAGGAGGCCGATGCCACCACGAGTGGGATAAGGCCGGTCGCCCTTGGGCGGCGTAAAGAGGTGGAAACCGCACTTGGATGCCTCGATGCGTAGCTGGTTGAGGCCCTCGGCGTTGAGGTGCAACTCCTGCAATGCTAGGATTCCTTTCGTGGCCGGGTGCCAAGTGAGCAGCTCTTTCTTCCAGGAGGTCACGTTGGCGCTGGTGATGTGGATGGGGTCGGCAGGGGAAGTGGCTCCCTGAGCGGCAATGTCCTTGGCAAACGCGGCCGCTAAAGGGGGGTCCAACCACCCCGAGCCCTGGAGGCCATCGAGGAGATCCCAACCGAGACGGTAAGCGAGGCTGCCTTCCGGTTCCATCTCAACAGCTTCGCCGAATGCCACGATAGCCTCTTCGGCATCCTCGAGGTTCTCCGCCGCATTGCAGGCGAGGGCGAGCCGCTCTGCAATGGGCTGTATCGGGGAAGGCCTTGCAGAAGCTGCAGGGCGACGTTTTCGATCTCCTCCCCTAGTAGCCTTGGTGAGGGATTGAGAGCGAGGGCCCGTTGAGACGGGGGGAGAAACGCCCCGTGCGCGGCTGTATCGGGGGCTGCTCGGAACTCTCGGTGGCTGAAATCCCTGGGTGAGGTTCCTTGGGCCTAAGGGCCACACCTGAGCAGTGCAAGCAGCCCGCTGATCTCCAGACAGGGACCGTTGCACAACGGGCAAGGTTTGAGGCACGACGCCTCGTGGGCCGCGTCTGCCCTTGAGCCCTGGTTCCCATCCTCGGTGGCGAGACTGCTGGGCCTGTCTGAAGCCAGAGCTCCGGAGGGCCCTTGTGTGCTGCCCCGTGGCCGGATGCGGCCACCTTGGCCTAGGCTGGGGGCTGAGGTCGCTTGAGAACCAGAAGTGGGGACCACGTCCTGCAGGACATGTGTACCTGGGTTCAGGAACTCCGAGTGCACCTGGGCCTTGGGCAGGTTGTCGCCCTCCGGGGGCTGCCATGCTGCCCAGAAAATGGCGTTGGACCTGCGGATCCGGCGTGCCTGGTGAGCGTGACGGCTGCGGCGGTTACCGATGTGCTGTGGTCCGCGCCTGCCTCCGGGAAGCCGGTTTGGCCGAAAACCTGTACGGGGAGTGGTGTCCACGATCCCCTTGTCAGGCTCTGAGGCCTGGGAGGGTGAACACACCTCCGAGTTGGTTAAAAACTGCTGTGGCGCAGCCACGCAAAACGATGAAAGAAAGAACTTGGGGCCACTGACACAGCTATCCACTGAGGGCGCGTGCCGGAAGGACAAAATCATGAGGGGTGTTTTGGCCTCCCTCTTCGGCGGGTGCTGGAGTGGGAAAACCACTTCCACTCCCTGGTCCGCCGTGGGGGCTCACTCCCTACTCTGTGACCTGCTTGGTGTTCTCCTCCTCGCCGGCCATGGTCTCCCCGTTCTTCGGGGGAGTGCGGCTCCGCTGGCGGCCGCCTGTCCCGTCAGCCCCCTTGGGCTGGCCGGCAGGGGGTTGGCACCCTGCTGGGTCGTTGGCTGCGTGCCTTGCAAGCCAAGGTGGAAAGCAGGCAGCCCTGGAGGCGCACCCACATCGGGCACCTTCCTCTTCTGGGCTTTGGCGCGGTAGTCGGCCAACTTCGCCTGCTGCTCGTCAGAGAGGGTCAAGCCCAGGATGGTGACCAGTTCGTCCA